GCAGATAGCAGGCTCCCTTCATGACGTCTCCACGGAGGCCTCTAACCCCGCCCTCCCTGCTGTTATTAAGACGACCTCATTTTTGTTGCTAAGGCTCAACCCATCCATCTCAGAGCTCCGACCTCATCTTTAACTAAAGTCCTCCGCTCCCCACGCGGTCACTGGCGTGCTGTGGTGGCCTGTCTCCACGCCTCCCCTGCCCCTTCTCTTCACAGACTCAGCCAACCGGCCCTCACTCCCAACGCGGGACATCCTCCCTCCGCGCCTCCTCCCTCCCCACTTTATGGGAAAGCTGCCATCAGACCCACCGGCACCTCCTGCACAGGCGCGGGCCTCTCCCCCAAGCCCTCTTCGAGCTGGGCCTGGAGAATTCTCAAAGGGACGCTGTTCCTAAGCTAATCCCGCCCTGGATACCACATTCCAGGGCTGGGGGACCTCGGGATCGGGAACTCCCGAGTCCTGGTTTTCAAAACACAAACTGGCCGGGCAGGAATGGGGCTCCTTGCTCGCTGCCCAGCAACTGACTTGGCACATTGTGCGGGTCACTCCGTGGCCCCCGGGCTGGGCGCACACGGCCCCCAGAGCCCGCAGTCCAGGGAGGAGACAGAAACAAACGGGCGGGGGGCCAGCGGGCTTTCTAGAAGAGCCGCTCCTTTGGACCCCTTTCCCGGAGACCGAGACGTGCTTTCTCAGGTGCGCGTTCTGTGGGAGATGCTTTCCGGCAAAGGTTTGCGGCAACCTGCTTTTAATGAACCTTCGTGCCAAGAGAAGGCGCTGATGTCCTTGCAGCAGGCATGATCCAGGTGTGACGGCCGCTGCCTGCCACAGGTGCACTATTTGGGTGTACGCGTGGGGGGTGTGAGGGGAGAGGTGGTGTCCTCTCTGGCCCTAGCCTGGGCCATGGGGGAGTCAGGGGGTGGGCTCCAGTGAGCCCGTGCTACCCCAGCAGCCATGAGGGGCTGGCCAGCCCAGGCCGCACTGTGGGTGGCTTGAATCTGCTCATCCCAGCCCCTTAGCCTAGGAAGCTCCCCCCACCCAAGGAGGAGGTCTGGGACACCCGGGAACCCAGTCCATATTTAGTGATCTGCTCCCCACGTGGGCACAGCCAGGGGCAGAGTTGCTGAGTCAGGCAGCTCCCAGTAGAACAGGAAGTGGATCCATGGCTGCTTCGCCAGGACCGAGGAGCGGCCGGCCTGAGGGTCACCAACAGAGCACGAGGAGCAGGAGGCAGGAGGTCATTCCAGCGGGCCCGTAGTATGTAGGCAGGTGGAGAGGGGGTGGGCATGAGGCTGGGTCCAAGGGGCCACCAGGAGGTGGGGACAGCGTGATGACAGGTGTGGGGGTGAGAAAGGCCCAGTGAGGAAAGCGGGTGGGCGGAGTCAGAGGCAGTGCATGGCCAGGCTGGCGGCAGGGAGGGGCAGGCGCCTGGCTGGCCCCACTCCCATGGGGCGTGGCTCCCTACAAGACCGCCCACTCTAGATTCGCACAGGTCTCCTCAGTGGGGGTCAGGAAAGTCCCCCAGGCCAGGCCTCAGGGCTTTGCCCATAGGCCAGGGGTCAAACTCATGCGCCTGCTGGGTCATGTGAAGAGAGAAGCAGCCACGTCAACAGTTCACAGGCAAGAAATGTGCCCTCTTGGCTGTTTCGTGAGACGTAAGGCTGCCTCAGCACATTGCTCACTTCCCACTTTCGTTAGCAGCATGGGTCTGTCCTTGCGTGAAGCAGGAGGGTAAACATTCTGTTAAATGGCTTCCACATATCTCCTCCGTGCAGTGGAGGGGGAGGGGCGATAGGGCAAAGTGGGGACTGTGGCTAACTCAGCGGTTTTCAACCTATGGGTCACCAACCTGTGGGTCACGACCCCTTTGGGGGTCGAACGACCCTTTCACAGGGGTCGCCTAAGACCATCGGAAAACACATATATAATTACATATTGTTTTTGTGATTAATCACTATGCTTTAATTATGTTCCATTTGTAACAATGAAAATACATCCTGCATATCAGATATTTATATTAGACTCATAACAGTAGCAAAATTACAGTTATGAAGTAGCAACGAAAATAATTTTATGGTTGGGGGTCACCACAACATGAGGAGCTGTATTAAAGGGTCGTGGCCTTAGGAAGGTTGAGAACCACTGTGGCTAACTAGAGAGCACACGGGCCACCCGAAGGGGAAGGTCTGCACTCCTGGCTCAGTCTCGTGGTTGCCAGGCAGGAGTGAGTGCCCAGACTCACAAAGAGAAATCAGAAGTCAGGATTAGAATGTGTATGTGAAATCATTCCGTTGTGATTGTTGGCCTAATCCTTTTTAAACACTGCGTGGGCCAAACAAGCCCTTCCCAGTGTGTGATCTGCTGGGCTGCGGGAGCTGGAAAAGGCCTTGGGAGGAGGGAGGCCAGGCTCAGAGCTGCCGGTGTCGGGGTTCACTGGCTGTGACGGGGCCTGAGGCCCTGGCCCTCCTCCAAGACGGCCAGGGCCCCTCCACGGGCACGGCGTTCCCTGTGTTACATCAGAGGGACAGTAGCACTTGCCCCCGATCCCCTCCTGCCTCCCTCCATGGGATGGCGGCCTTGGCGGGTCCTCTCCCCAGGACCTCTCCTCTGTCTGATGAAACTCAGGGCAGGACTTGGCTGCCAAGCCCTCGGGTCCCAGCAATTCCCCTCCTACCCGGTGCCCAGGGACAGATGCCCAGTGCTCACCCCAGCAAATACCGTGATTACCCAAGGGGTCACACTGGGCAGAGGCTGCCCCTTCTCAGGGGCTCCTCAGGGTCTACTGCACAGACTCTGAGGATGGCAGAGGCTAGATCCTTGGCCACCATCGAATCCAGCTTCACCTGATGCAGGATTCCCTCCACAAAGACCTGGACTCTGGCGTGTACAGTGTCTGTTTGAATACTTCCAGAGATGGGGAACTCACTACTTCCAACAGTCATGACAACAGCTGGCATTCACTGAGTGCTTACTTATTTTCACGGGAGGGGCTGGTTTTATTCCCTAGAATCAATAGAAATAAGTCTGCGTCTTCCACTCTCTGGCAGCTTTTGAAATATTCGCAAACAGCTCTCATGGTCCCCCCTGGCACCATTTCTCTTCCAGGGAACGGCCCCCCGTTCTCACGTGGCACGGCTCAGTGTCCACGTGCCCCCTGTGCCCCTCGGGTTCCTGGCGGCCTGCCTCTGCATCCTCCACTCCCACAGGGGGAAATGATGACGCCCACAGCACAGCGCGTGGGAGGCAGAGAGCCACCAACGTGTGGGAGGCGCTGAGCACAGGGCTTGGCACTGAGGCCCCTCGGGAACGAGAGCCTGACGTCACCCCCGCTCCCAGCTCGGCTGCAGGTTTAAGGGGACAAGCTTTGGCTTTGAAGAAGGAATCTGGTTTGAACCCAGGTTCCGTCATCTGCTAACCACGTGACCCTGAGCAAATCGCTTAAACTCCTGGGGCCTCAGATAGTCACACAACAAAATGGGGATGACAAGCCTTTCTTCGTCGATTTACTGTGAGAATGAAAGGAGATGGTGAGTGTCAACACAGAGAGTGATAACTATTAGTCCCTTTCCATGTTGTCAGCATCAATAGCAGCTGCAGGTGTGTCGCTGAACTTTTACTATCACCTCCCTTTTTATGAGCTTTATACATCTATTTACACAACCTGTGCCTGCCTATTAGGTGAAGATGAGAAGGAGTAGCTCTTTGCGTCGGCAGACCTGAGAGCACACAGCTCTTTCAAGTGTATTATGTCAGTGGCGCCTCATGTTTTTCCTTCTCATGTAGGCAGGAGGCCAGGGACTCTTGGTCCAGGGCTCCTGCCACAGCCCCACACATAGCCCAGCTGCAGCCCCGCCTTCCGAACCCGCATCACCCCTGACCTTGACATACCCTGTGGCCTTCCTGTAACACCTTCACACATCCCCTCCTCGACCTCCAGAACCAACCCCACTGCCAGCCCCTGGCGATGGCAGCTCGGGGACTCCCCTCCTGGCTTTACAGAGGGGGGAACGCAGACCCAAGGGCACAGTCCTGGGCTCCTTCTCCCCTCCCACCCTCACCCCACTCCTAGTTCATCTCATCCTCATTCACAGCTGCGACTACCACACAGAGCTGATAACCCCCAACTTAGGCCTTCAGCCCCGCCTCTCCCTGAGCTGTATATGCCTCCCAGACATCGCCCCCTGGTGCCTCAAAGGCACCTCAAACTCAACATGACAAGTCAGGACTCCGGACCTGCCCCCAAATCTTGGCTTTGCTGGCATTTCCTGTCCCAGCGGAAGCCCCATCATCCCTCCAGATGAGCAAACTGGGACCCCAGTCAGCATCCTTGCCCCTTCCACCTCCCTCTGCCCTGCCTCATGTCACTTTTCATTCTGTCTCCTCAGCGCCTCGGATCTCCCCAGGTGCACCAGCTCCTGCTCGCTCCTGCGTCCAGTCAGTCATTCAGCAACCACTTGCTCTGGGCCAGGCCCTAAGGGAGCAGAGGCGAGCCTGGTGTGCCCTGCTCTCCGGAGCTGGTGCGGATGGCGAGCCAGGTTCGGTCTCCGCTGGACACAATCCCGGTTACAGTAGCAGGACTTCGCCCTCCAATGGTGGAGGAAGACCGTTATAACTGGGGGGGGGGGGGGGGGGGGAGGGAAACGGGCCCTCTGATGGTGGAGGAAGACCGTTATAATGGGGGGGGGGGGAGAGAAACGGGCTGATGGGGCCAGACTTGGTGCCGTGCAATGAGGATTTCCTCTCTGGCGGCTTCTGTTTTTTCTGTCGAGTAGGAGGCCGGAGGCAAGGCCCTCTTGGGATGGGGTGTGTTCGGGGCTGGAGGCGAGTGGAGGGGGAAGGTGGCAACAGGTCACGGTGAAGCACAGGCAAGGAGACGCGTCCTCAGGTAGGTACCATGAGTTCACAGGGATCCGCCGGCCTGCTGGCACTTGCACCAGCGAGGCTCAGTCGCTCAGGTGTGTGAGTGGGGGGGGGGGAGCAGGGGGGGGGGCGTGTCTGTTCGCCCAGGGTTGGCCAGCAGCGCCACCAGGAGACCAGGGACGTGGGAGTGCAGGGTGTTGCTAAGATGTTACTAAAATGATGGACCATGGGATCTAAGCGGGCTCAGGGTGGAAGGAAAGATGACTGATGCACAGAGGAGAGTCAGGTCAAGGACCTCCACGAGGCCGGAACTTTCCCAGGGGAGCAGTTGAACACGAGGACAGGTGGTTAAAGTCGTGGGGGAGGAGGAGAGGGAAAGGGGTTGATTAGTGACGTGGAAGCAGAGAATTACGGGATCCACTTGCCCTGCTTGGGGGCCCAGTTTACCCTGCAAAGCAGGAAATGCAGCCCCACTGAGCCAGCCCAGCCTGTGAGCACGGCAATGACAGAGCACAGCCACAAGAGGGCAGCATCGGCACACAAACCTGCACCTGGAGGCCTCAGCATCCATCCTGCTCTTCCGGTTGCTTCATCTCCTACAGATCAGCAGGCTTCAGGTGAGGTAAGGAGCTTGTGTGACCCCCACAACCAGCCACCTTTGATGGAACCCTGACTGGGCTCTGGAGACAGAAAGGCATTGATTTGAATCGTGGCTCTGCCACTTTCAAATTCAGCTTCTTATTGCAATGTACTCCTTCCCCCGCCCCACAGCCTCGAACATTCCCTGGGAAGCTGAGTGTGGCCCAAGCTGCCTGCCTCATCTTGTCCCCAAGCTAGAGCTGCCGCTGCCATCTGTCTAGGTCCTGGAGGAGAAGGCGAGCCCACACTGGCCCAGAGGCAGCCCAGCAGATGCATTAGCAACCTGTTTCCTTCTAGTCTTTCTGTCTTAACAACGGAGGCCATCCCGAGTCCCTTCCAAGACCCAGTCCCAGCAACCGGCTAACCCCAAGGGGCTGGCACCTCTCCCACATGGAGAAAGCCCCCCCCACCCACACACACCTCTGAGCAGTAAAGGGGGCCTCCTGATACCTCTGGTTCCCTCAGCAGGTGTCTGAAACGGTCACTCCTTCACATGCACACGTGTTCTCCCCAAGTGAAGACTGAAATGACTGCATACCACTCAGGACTTTGCACGGAGAGAAGCAGTCATGTGACAGAGCAACAAAGCACCAAAGAGATGAAATCATGATTGGGGGGCTGGGCCAGGAACAGCCCTGCATCCGCTGCCCTCACTGGACCCAAGGACTTTTGTCGCCCATGCTGTCCCTTCCCTCCTCAGCCTCACCACATGGAAATGCAGGCGGACGTGGGAGTGTCCCAGTATCCTGGCGAGAGTAACAACCTTCTTGCAGGAAAGGAAACGGTGGGGTCCCGGCCGCCCCCTGCCCTTTGCAGACCCCCGCCCACGTTGCCTGTAATCTGTAACCATTATACCCAGTCCCATTCCTTTTGCTCACCTCCCTATGTATTCTTTGCCCTCTCACCCCACATAAGCAGCTGGCTTATGGGGAGACAGAGTAGATTTCTAGATGACCTGCTGCTCTCCCAAGCTGCTGGCGTTATTGGAATCAAGGCCCATGTGTGATTCAGCCCTGTCTCTGCTTACTCGGCTCCAGTAGCGACAGGCAGCCCGGGCCATTGGTTGTCCGGTCTCACAGTTGCTGTGATCTTGACTCTTCTACCTTAAGCCCTTGCTTTGTTTCACTGCCCCCAGCTTTAATAAACCTCCTCTCACAGTCACCTGGACTGGTGTTGTGAAGTCTTTCCTGTACGAAGTCAAGAACCCACACACCCAGGTAGTGCTGGGGCAGACCCGCCTTGGTAGCGGTCTCCTGGAACACACACCCCATTCTAGCTCTCAGGGGCCATCCCAAGCCGGGCCCAGCCTTTCTTACAGCCTCACCAAGTACACATCACCCTCCAGGGACATATCCCGGCTGTCACCTGGGCCTTTGCCTCAGCCCTCTGCCCCTCCTGGAGCGTCCTCCCTGCTCTTCTCCATGGCCACATGCCATTGAGATTCAGCTCCAAGTCACCCTTCCTGAGAAGTCCTCTCCCTCCATCCCACTCTCCACTCTCCCCGCCTGCGCCAGGCCCTCAGGGGAGCCACGTGGCGGGACAGAAAACAGGTGAGGACTTCAGAGTCCCATCTAGGGGTACAAGCAGGCTGCACCACCGTGTGTCCTTGGGCCAGCGACATTTTTTAGGCCTTGGACTTGTGCCCTGTGGAGTGGGGCCAACAGGGATGTGGGGCCATGGCAAGGGTGGCTGGTGCCCAGGCCTGGCTGTCGCCCACCTGCGCCCACCCTCCATGGTACTGTTTCCCCTGGGAAGTGCACAAGCTCTTCTGGACCCGGACCCCAGCCCTTGGCACCTCGGGCCTCTGCACCGTTTCTGCTCTCCACACTACTGACACCAGTGGGTGGGGTTTTCCACACCAACAATCAATTCTCCAACTCTCAGGACACCATGATTCAATTCAATTCTGGCAAAACAAGAATACCGGGGACTGGTTATGGTATGGGAAATATTAACCATGCTCTATTAACCAGGATTGCCTTGTTCTGGTTAAAGAAAGAACGTTCTACCTTGGCGGAAAGTTGTATGTCCCCGGGACATGAGAGTCAACCTTGGAATGGGGTTCATTCTCACTCAAGACTGGCCTATCATGGAAAGATTAACAACTTTGTTGCCCAAACAATGGCGTCTCACTCCAGCCTGCATAGCCTGCCTCCCCATGCCTGTAATTCCTACGTCCCATGTAATCCTTGTCCTACTCTATAAGCAGCTGGCTTATGGGGGGCTGCAGAGCAGATTTTTGTGGATGACCTGCTGCTGTCCCCTACTGCCCGCAGTATTGGAATAAATGCACATATAGGATTCAACCCTGTCTCTGCTTCAAGGCCTCAAGTAGTGACAGGCAGCCCGGACCCACTGATTGTCCAGTCACAGCACTATCTACTGGAGCCAGCACCAGGCCCCATAGGTTTCAGGGCTCAGAGCCACAAGGTTGCCCACACTTCAGACACCAGTCTCAAATATGGGGTACCCAGGGTACCCAAACTGAAACCAGACAACCGGTGGGTCTGGGCTGCCTATCACTACTTGAGCCAATTAAGCAGAAATAGAATTGAATCATAAAGGAGGGTTGATTCCAATAATGCCAGTGCCTGGCCCATGTGGCTCAGTGGTTGAGCGACGACCTATGAACCAGGAGGTCACGGTTCAATTCCTGTCAGGGCACATGCCTGGGTTTAGGGCTCGATCCCCGAGTGGGAGTGCAGGAGGCAGCCGATCAATGATTCTCTCTTATCATGGATGTTTCTATCTCTCTCTTCCTCTCTGAAATAAATAAAAATATACTTTTAAAATATAATGCTGGCAGTATAGGAGAGCAGCAGGTCATCCAGGAACATCTTTTCTGCAGCCCCCCAAAAGCTAGCAGCTGATATTGGGCAGGACGAAGGTTACCTGGGGAAGTAGGCCAAATGAATAGGAATGGGTACAATGGTTACAGACCACAGGCAGGTGGGGCTCCATTGTTTGGGAACCAAGGTTGCTAATCTTTCTATAATGGACCACATTCCAAGGCTGACTCCCAGGTCCAAGGTTGACTCCCAGGTCCCAGGGGCATACAACTCCCAGTCAGGTTAGAAAGTCCTTTCTTTAATCAGAACAAAACGATCACGGTCAACAGAGCATGATTAATATTTCTTAAAACTATAACTAGTCCCCAATGTGGACGAAAGGGGCCACATGCTGACCTGACAAGCTCAGGGGAAGCCTGCATGGCAGTCTTGCAAACTCAGAGACCTAGAGTAACCACAAAGGATGGTCTGAAATTAAACTTTAACTAAAAGCAGTGATGGTGGGCGGTTACGTCCTAGGCCGGTATCTTCACTGACAAGGTCAACCTTTACCTTAACTGAGCCTATCTGTCTTTTTGCATCTATGATAACATATCCTTGAAATGTCTGGGTAACTTGTAACTTCCCTTTTTCTGGAGCCCCTGGGGCACAACCTAACGTGCCTGGGTGCCAGGACAGAGACCACAAATTCATTCATTATCATGTTAATTGCTCCTGCACCCACCTAAGTATGTGTCCATCATTTTACTTTTTATCCAATCCCAGGGGTTTCCCCTGCTTTGCTTTATCCCTCCTCCTTAATCTATCACCAGTGAATTTCATGTAACCCACCTACATCCATTCTTTGATTGCAATGTATAAATGCAGATGTAACATTCCCCCCCCCCCCCCCCCATTCTCCGGAGCATTATCTCAATTCATTGAGGTTCTGCTTGCCGGCATATGTCGACAGTTTGGTTCAAATAAACTCACAAAAATCCTTTACAGGTTTCAATAGTTTTTACGTTAACACCAATATAACAAAACTTCCATCTGCTCTGGCTACGAAGTTGGGAGTGCCCACAATCCCCACCCATCTTCTGTTTCAATGACTTGATAGCATGGCTTACAGAACTCAGGAGAACACGAGGCCCGCTGGGTCTGCGATTTAGACAGGAAGGTCTGGCGGCTCCTGGGAGGCCTGGTGGGTGGGGTGGGGGGTCCTGAGGGCTGTCCCCGCTGCCCCCCTGCCTCAGTGTGACCATGACCAGGACCATCTTCATGGCGCTGGCCTGGCGCACAGGAGGCCTGACACTGAGCTAAAGCTGGGGGGCTGGGGCCAGCTCCAGGCTCTGGGGCAGGAGGGGACCCCTGGGGTGGCGCTGGGGAGGGGGGGACCAGGGAGGAGTGGGGACTGCAATCAGAGGGGTGCTCTGCAAGTCTGGGGGAGGCGAGTCTGGGAGCGGAGGGGTAGGGGAGACGCGGGTCCGCTGCGGGTGGAGGAGGGACGCGCTGCAGCGCCGCGGGGCAGTCCCCAAGCGCCGCGCCGGGGCCTCCGCGGGTGAGTGGGCGCGGGGGATGAAAGGCCGGTTTGCAAACCGGGAAGCGCGGGCGGAGGGGCGGGGCGGGGCGGGGCGGGGGCGGAGCCCGGCCTGGGGCCCAGAGACGCCCCGAGTCGCAGTGGCCCCGGCGGCCCGGGAGGCAGCGGCGGCGGCGGCGCGGTGGCGACAGTAAGTGCGGGCCGAGGTCGGGCGGCCTGGCCCCCGGCCAGCTCTGCAGCGTCCCGGTCGCCCCCGGGCTCCCGCGCTCGGCGCCCGCCCCCACGGGCCGGGCCGGGCCGGAGGCTGCTCCACCGGAGCTCGGGACCCTCCCGCCCCTCCCGCTGCACGGGTCCCGCCACGGCCCCTCCCCAGGTCCCGGCGCCTCCTCCCGCGCTCCCCCTGCCCCCCTCCTCTCACTGTCCTCTCCGGGTCTACTTTCTCCTCCGGACCCTCCCCCTCCTCCTCGTGCGTTTCCCGAGGCTGGGCCTCACCATCTGGATGTGTGTGGTTTGGGGGGAGGGGGTGCGTGGCGGGGAAGGGCAACTCAGCCCCAAGTAAGTGGTTGACTCTTGCCCCAAACGGGGGAGCCTGCGCCTGCGCCTGGGAGCGTCCCCCGCGCCGAGGCCGGTTCTCCCATGGCCTCTGCGTGGCGCCTGGCCTTTCCCAGCGATGCGTTCCCAGCAGGTTCGCCTCCCCAGCCCCAGCCCCACTTCACAGATGGGGAAAGGGAGGCACAGAGGGGAGACCACCTCAGCCAGAGTCAGAACCCTCCTCGGAACCAGCACCAGGTGCAGAGGGCGGTCTGCAGTGGCCGCAGGCCCCACAAGTTTCTGCTTCTTTGGATAGAGGCTGCCCCTGGTCCGGGCACCCAGGAGGAGAGCAGGGCCCCGTGTGGCCAGCTCCGGTGGGTGCTGGAGAGACACGCCAGACAGCCAGCTCCCCCTTTTTCTTTTCAATCTGAACGCCAGCCGCTCGCTTTTATAAACAGTAATGAGACGGCTCAGGCCAGTGCCCTGGCCTGTGACCGCGGGAGAAGATTCCAGCTCTTCAGAAACTCGTCAGGGCTGAATGGCCCTGGACAAATAGACGCCTGGAGCTGAGGCTGGGTCCGGAGAGTGTGGGCCCCATAGCCCTGCTGTTGGCCCTGCACCCACCCTTGTAGCTGGAACATCTGGAAAAACCGCTTGCCCTTTGTCCACTGTCCTACATGAGCCATAATTTTAAAACACTAATTTAGAAGGTGAGTGTGTGGGTGTGCGCGCCCCAGTACTGTCTGGTTAGTTGGTTAGTGCTGGGTGCCCTGTGAGTCCAGGCTGGGAAAAGGCTCTGCTCAACCAGGAGAGTTTAAAAGCTCAACCAGGAGATTTTAAAATAGCCATGCTGACCCACAGGCAGCATCCTGCCTGCCTGCGCCTGGTACAAGCAGCCTCGGGGGAGAATATCCTGGCCATTCGTTCATTCAGCAAACATTGAGGAAGGTGCTTTCACCTCTGCTCACAGCTCCCTTGCCGGAGGCCTTCCTGGAGGAGGCCCCCTGTCCATGGTACCTGGAGCCTGCAGGCACTGACTCACCTTGCCAAACAGCCTGCTCTCTGGGCGGCCAAGGAGTCGCCGTGGGCCTCAGACTGCTTGGCTGTGTAGCCTCACTCTTGTCATTTGGTAGCTGTGTGTCCTTCCGCAGATTGCTTAACCTTTCTGACCCTCACGCTTCATCTGTTAAAAGGGTCTTAGAATAGTACCTACCTTATTGTTAGGCTGTTGTCAGGCTCAAGTGCTAGACACACACCTTAGCATGCATGAGTACTGGGTTTTAATTATTTAACTATTGGGAGTTCTTACTTGTTTGAATGTG